TAGCATGTTGTTAGAATTTTAAAGAAAAAGAATTTCCCCGGGTTTCCTTACTAGTTATACTGGCTATTTAAAAAAAAGACTGTATATCTTAGGTATTGTTTTAAGAACTTTCAATTCCCTTTATTTTGGTGCATGATTGATGGGTGTAATATGGGTTAGAGAGCACACGGCTTGGCCTTACTCCAGATGTGCATCTTTCAAAAACGTACTAGCTCCACTTGCTCATTTTCACTTCCTGAACTTTAGGGGTAAATTGTAAAAAAAAGAGCCAATAACTTTTTCACATTTTATATATTTGGTAATTCATTCATTGGGCGTTCAGAGGCTGGTATTGTCTAGTCTTGCAAACTTCATTTTCCATATTTTAATAGCTTCCAAGAATAGTGTACTTTAGACAAATTCAGGTTGATTTTTGGAGTATATGCGAGCAGTCATATAAGTTAGCAGTGTCCTAAGATCATTTACAATTTCCAAAAGAACAATATCCAAAGAAATTTCAGCCACATTACATGAAAGTAGCATATAAGTATGCCAACATTCTCTCCATTGTGTATTTTTTTTAAATGCAAACAACTTGACTTTACATACATCACTCTCTCAAAAGTACACAATAACTGGTGAGCGCCACCTATGATTGCTGATGATAGTGATGATGACAATACATTTTAAAGTTTTGAAGTATATCCGATTATTGGAGTTGGAAAAGTGTTAATGGAGACACCAGTGAGTAATTTTGAGTCTTACATGGTTCTAAATACGAGCCAGATATACATGCTGGATGGATAAAAAAAAGACGGTACGACCCTTCAAGTGGTATTTTGAAATTAAATGTACAAAGGGCAGAATACATAGCCTAAAATACAGACATTTTATTTTTTAAATTATCAGATTCGCACTGCGGATCATATGCTACAAAACTATATAGATGTATCCACATCAAGTTTAAGATAAATTGGATAAAATAAGGGTTAAAAATGCGATTATGAAGTAAAGATAACTGTTTTGTTTTGTAATACCTCTGTCTGCAGAAATATGGCTTGAATAAATACTTTTGTACAGCATTATGGAACAGATATGAAAGTTGGCAATGTAGTCAGTAAACTATTGATTCAATATCGCAAGTTTATGTTAGTGAAAAATCCTATTTTGGAGCAGATGTATCCAAAAGATAATGTCTGTGTTGTCTGGAAAATTGTACATAACAGTCACAAAGATCAATTTCCCAACATAATTAAGCTGACAAAGCTAGCTATGTATATGTCCCTTCAAAAGAAGCACAAAACAATACTAATACAAAAAGGTAAGCAAAGTATGTTCATGATCAGAATTAATTAACAGATCAATGTTTATACAACTACAGGTGACATGTTTCAAAGATTTTGATTTTAGTAGAGCTATAAGAAGTGGAGCAGGAAGAAATATATATATATATATATATATATATATATATATATATATATATATATATATATATATATATATATATATATATATATATTGAAAATGAGATAAATATTGACCTATGACCATTTCTTCCTCTCCTTTTTTCTTTGCTATATGTGGAGTATCCCATAAAATAAAATTATGTCATTATCTCTCCTTTATTTGTACTTGGGAACCAAAATTGGAATATCTTTGCCGAGATATTTAACCAGCGAATGAAGATACTTATGTAAAAAATGAAATTAGAATAGAATGAGGGATGGGGCAGATTTAAAACTGCTCAAATTTATCACCCTGTTTATGTCAAAAGAAAAATTGTATAATAGGACTGGGTGTAGTCAACAGTTTTCCTTCTTCGCTAACAAATACAAGTACCTGTGTCTGCAGCAATCTTTTGCATCTGCAGGAAATAAATTGTGATAGATTTTGTTGGTATTCAACATTATTCCCATTTCCGGACATGCTTTCGATGAGATTTTCTTTGCACGAGGAGATTTCATTATTTGTTCTGTTTTAAAGATAACATCGTAATATTTTGCAAGTGTAACTGAGGTACAAAGTTGTTAAGAGTATATTTTCAAAGCATTCATGTTGTACAAAACAAAAGGAGTTAAATGGAACCACCATTAAATGGCCTAAAATGATAGATAAACCTCACTACAAACAACAGGTAGTCTTTTTGAAAGTATTGTTCTTATCTTCTATTCAACGAACATTGCATATAAATATATATAACTATATGTCTATCTGTAGTCTGCATGCAAAAAATGTGAAAAGAATGTCTACACACATGAAAGGGCAACAGAATTATCAAGAATGTTAGGTCAACAGGATTATCACGAATGTTGGGTCAACAGGATTATCAATAATGTTAGGTCAAAAGGATTATCACGAATGTTAAGTCAAAAGGATTATCACGAATGTTAGGTCAACAGGATTATCACGAATGTTAGGTCAACAGGATTATCACGAATGTTAGGTCAACAGGATTATCACGAATGTTGGGCCAACACGATTATCATAAATGTTAGATAAACAGGATTATCACGAATGTTAGGTCAAAAGGATTATCACGAATGTTAGGACAAAAGGATTATCACGAATGTTAGGTCAACAGAATTATCAAGAATATTAGGTCAACAGGATTATCACGAATGTTGGGTCAAAAGGATTATCACGAATGTTGGGTCAACAGTATTATCAATAATGTTAGGTCAAAAGGATTATCACGAATGTTAAGTCAAAAGGATTATCACGAATGTTAGGTCAACAGGATTAACATAAATGTTAGATTAACAGGATTATCACGAATGTTAGGTCAAAAGGATTATCACGAATGTTGGGTCAACCGGACTATCATAAATGTTAGATTAACAGGATTATCACGAATGTTAGGTCAAAAGGATTATCACGAATGTTGCGTCAACAGGATTATCATAAATGTTAGATTAACAGGATTATCACGAATGTTAGGTCAAAAGGATTATCACCAATGTTAAGTCAAAAGGATTATCACGAATGTTAGGTCAATAGGATTATCATAAATGTTAAATTAACAAATTTATCACGAATGTTAGGTCAAAAGGATTATCACGAATGTTGCGTCAACAGGATTATCATAAATGTTAGATTAACAGGATTATCAATAATGTTAGGTCAAAAGAATTATCACGAATGTTAAGTCAAAAAGATTATCACGAAAGTTAGGTCAACAGGATTATCACGAATGTTAGGTCAACAGGATTATCATAAATGCTAGAATAACAGGATTATCACGAATGTTAGGTCAACAGGATTATCACGAATGTTGGGCCAATAGGATTATCATAAATGTTAGATTAACAGGATTATCACGAATGTTAGGTCAAAAGGATTATCACGAATGTTGGGTCAACAGGATTATCAATAATGTTAGGTCAAAAGGATTATCACGAATGTTATGTCAAAAGGATTATCACGAATGTTAGGTCAACAGAATTATCAAGAATATTAGGTCAACAGGATTATCACGAATGTTGGGTCAAAAGGATTATCACGAATGTTGGGTCAACAGTATTATCAATAATGTTAGGTCAAAAGGATTATCACGAATGTTAAGTCAAAAGGATTATCACGAATGTTAGGTCAACAGGATTAACATAAATGTTAGATTAACAGGATTATCACGAATGTTAGGTCAAAAGGATTATCACGAATGTTGGGTCAACCGGACTATCATAAATATTAGATTAATAGGATTATCACGAATGTTAGGTCAAAAGGATTATCACGAATGTTGGGTCAACAGGATTATCAATAATGTTAGATCAAAAGGATTATCACGAATGTTAATTCAAAAGAATTATCACGAATGTTAGGTCAAAAGGATTATCATAAATGTTAGATTAACAGGATTATCACGAATGTTAGGTCAAAAGGATTATCACGAATGTTGCGTCAACAGGATTATCATAAATGTTAGATTAACAGGATTATCACGAATGTTAGGTCAAAAGGATTATCACGAATGTTAGGTCAAAAGGATTATCACGAATGTTGGGTCAACAGGATTATCAATAATGTTAGGTCAAAAGGATTATCACGAATGTTAAGTCAAAAAGATTATCACGAAAGTTAGGTCAACAGGATTATCACGAATGTTAGGTCAACAGGATTATCATAAATGCTAGATTAACAGGATTATCACGAATGTTAGGTCAACAGGATTATCACGAATGTTGGGCCAATAGGATTATCATAAAGGTTAGATTAACAGGATTATCACGAATGTTAGGTCAAAAGGATTATCACAAATGTTGGGTCAACAGGATTATCAATAATGTTAGGTCAAAAGGATTATCACGAATGTTATGTCAAAAGGATTATCACGAATGTTAGGTCAACAGAATTATCATAAACGTTAGATTAACAAGATTATCATAAATGTTAGATTAACAGGATTATCACGAATGTTAGGTCAAAAGGATTATCACGAATGTTGGGTCAACAGGATTATCATAAATGTTAGATTAACAGGATTATCACGAATGTTAGGTCAAAAGGATTATCACGAATGTTGGGTCAACAGGATTATCAATAATGTTAGGTCAAAAGGATTATCACGAATGTTAGGTCAAAAGGATTATCACGAATGTTAGGTCAACAGAATTATCAAGAATGTTAGGTCAAAAGGATTATCACGAATGTTGGGTCAACAGGATTATCAATAATGTTAGGTCAAAAGGATTATCACGAATGTTAGGTCAAAAGGATTATCACGAATGTTAGGTCCAAAGGATTATCACGAATGTTAGGCCAGCAGGTGATGTGATGTAGTGTGATGTAATTTAGCAGTTTTAACGTATCTTTAATAATTTTTTCAGTCATATCGTTACAATGTCTGAAGTGTGGCAGTGTATATTGATATCTAGCACTGGGGCATCATGCCACAGACATGTAGCTGATGTCACACCCAGTCACATTATCCTGACACCAGACCGACCAGTCCTAACACTAATCTCTTAATGCTCAGCGTCAAGTGAGGCAGCTATTAGTATCATTTTTGTATATTTTTGGTATGACTCGACCGGGGATCGAAGCCACAATTTCTCGCATCCGAAGCGGAGGCTCTAACCACTAAACCACCGGAGCGGTTCAGTTAGGTTAACAGGATTATCACGAATGTTAGGTCAATAGAATTAACATTAATGATAGGCTAACAGGATTATCACGAATGTTAGGTCAATAGAATTATCATTAATGATAGGTTAACAGGATTATCATGAATGTTAAGTTAACCGGTCTCTCAAAAGTTTCCGCACTAGTCGTATTGTGAACTGCAAGTTCTGTCGTGAACCTGCATGCAATATCTAGGTGTTAAGTATGATAAAATACTGCATGATTCTGACAATGTAAAGTGAGCGGAGATAAAGATAGAGCATATAATAATCATGGCTAGCATTACAGTAATCAAAGTTCAATGCAGTCGTGGTCGATTTTCAGCAATCAAGGTAAAATGTCAGTGCCTGAGTACCCAACAAACAGAGTAGGCACCATGAGCCTATGAGCTCCACGCCTTTTAGGGGCCCCGCGACAACGGATCTAACTAATATTGAACTGATTTGATCTTGACGTATTAGGAGAAAATTTGTGAGGGGGCCATGCGATTTCGACTGCCTATGGGGCCTCCACATGGTTCAATCCAGCACTGTTAATTGTGCAGTGGTCATGGTTAGCTGTGCAATAATGAAGGTCAACTGCAATGTAATCATGGTATATGTGCAGTAATCAAGGTTAACTTCAATAGTCATTTTTAGCTGTGCAGTTATTAAGGTCAACTGCAACGTAATCATGGTGGATTGCTGCAGTCAAGGTTAAGTGTGCAGGGTTAACAGTAATAGCGGTAGCTATGTAATAATGAAGATTAGCTATGCTATAAACATGGCGGATATACAATGTGTAGTGTGTCTCTTAATTTATGACAATAGCCAGTTTGAGATTATGCATGCTTCTCGATTAATAATATTAAACAATTACTTTTTTTAAAGCAAGAAATTAAAACAATATAGTTTATCTAATTCAAGAAAGCACTGATGTGTACAACCAAATACAAATCATTCGTCATTACTATGATCATTGAACTGAATCATGCATATGAAAAATTCAAACATGTTTAATAACATATGGAAAAAAAGGCATTTAAGAATGCATCTGGAACTGAAAAAATCGAGACTGCATACGAGACTTAAAGAAAACAAGAATCCATCTGGAATTGAAGAAATCGAGACTGCATACGAGACTTAAAGAAAACAAGAATCCATCTGGAATTGAAGAAATCGAGACTGCATATGAGACTTAAAGAAATCAAGAATCCATCTGGAATTGAAGAAATACAGAATGCTCTATTTTATAAACATTACCACCACAGCAACCCAGATATTGAGGAAATTTAAATATAACTTTCAGTTACTGTAGTAATCAAGTAATCAAGGGGAAAATAAATATCGCATAGCATTTGAATTTAAATGCCAAGAAGAGCTTTTGCGATAATCCCACATTTATATCTTCTGATTTTTCATAAGAATACGCTACTTAATGATTTATTGAGATAATAAATCCTGACAAGTGTCAGCATGGAGATTTATCTTAAGCAATAAAAATTTGAATATTCATAAATGAATAAAAACCCACCTACCCTATAAAGTAAACAAGCACATTTATTTGGCATTTGTCCTTCCTAATTATCTAGAAATGTCAGATATACTGCAGTCAGCGCAGCGCATTTGTACGTACCATCAAGAGATAACCAAGAACCATTTCCATAGTCGACGTCACTGAGAAGATTGTGACATGGCTCACCATAACAGTGAGATTCGGACAAATCTTATTCTTTAAAGAGTTTCACACAAAATCGGTCAATCTGCTGTAATTTTCCATTATTCGGCAAAATATATGTGATATATGAATAAATAACATTTTCAGTGAAGTAAAAAAAATATATTAAATCATACAAATATTGAAAGTATAAAAAGTATTGAAAGTATAAAATGTATAAAAATTATTAAAAGTATTAAAAGAATCATGCCTTATGTTTGTACTCTTCTATTATTTTTGCGGAATTTTTTGTTTATTGTAGCAAATTATTAAATAAATCTTCTCGAAAAAATATATAACCACAACTTACCACTTTTGTGTGGTCAAATCTATGACTTTCGGATGAATTTGATTTTTTTGTGCGCCAACTGTATTTTTACTGAAGCACTATTGTTTTGCATGTGAACGCTACATATTTTGGAAAAAGGATTTGTCTGCATGGTACTTACGGGGGCCAGAACGTAATTAAATTCCTACTCCAGTCTGTGAATATAGTATGCTTTCTGAACCAAATGTGATCGGTAGTCCAGTCAAATCTAATCTGGTCATCCATGGTTGAACGTTAAAATGTAAAACAAATTGAACGAGCCACTTCAGGCTGTTCTCAATCAACTTATTTAAACCTGACAGATCAATTTTATGGTCTAGAGTAACTAGATAAATCGGTAATAATAAATTGCTGAAATGGTTATGTGTGCTGATGCTCATTTGGATTTTACGTGCTACTTGTAACTAAAAAATCCGTATCACCTTCAAAATTAATACGACAAATGTACCTAGCAAAATGCCCCTTACAACATCACTCATTTGAAACATTCGAAAGGGGTTGTTTCAATCTCTTTGTATTCTTTTACACCGGTTATTGCAAAAAAATAGACTTTAAAATTAAATAAAGTTCAGGGTATAAACATTTGAAAAAATACAGACGGCAACAATTATGTATCCCATGATTTATTCCAAAAATAATTTAATCAAATTCAAAAGACAGTAGTGAATTTAAATTATTAATCATTCTAAAAAGCAGATAATTAAATGGAAAGAAACAAATTCTGATTTTCTAATTCCATTGCCATTTACCATCTATACTTGATTATGAAAGTAAAATCCAATTGTAAATAACATATACTTTGATCTACAGTTGCCGGAAGATCAGGGCCTATGACGTTTTTGTTCCATGGAATACTTCTAACAAACTGTATAGACCAAGATCTGCAGACGAACAGTGTTGCAGCCGAAATGGATATGTGCAGCTTACAGTTGGATTATGAGTGTAGCTGTTTGCATATTTATTACTCAATTTATGTGCCCTTAACTGTTTCACTTTAAGTTCCTTACTGATTTGGCTTTTTCTATGTCATGCTTTACTAACTAATGAGTCTGGCTTATATGATTTCTGACATTTTTCCTTCAAGATTTTAACGATTTTTTTCCAGCAGATGATGAAGTCAACATCTCTCAGCATTCTAGTGCCGTGTCAATTTTGAGGACAAAATCTAATATTTCGAATCAGTAAACTTCTGTTCACATCCACCCAGCAACCAATACATACTGCATATTTTCAATATGGTACACATCGAAAAGTTGTTACAAGGAATGAAACAATTATTCTATATATCTCAGATTATTGATATTACAAAAGACATTTTACTTCAATACCGTGTTTGTTATCGTGTGTGTCTGTTTTGGAATTTGAACGTAGCTTTAACAAGTTTTCAGTCGTATCACTACGAAGTCTGTAGTGTAGCAGTTTATAATGATGTTTAGCACTAGGGCATCATGCCGCAGACATAAAGCATCATGCCCCACCCAGTCACATTATTCTGACACAAGGCCAACCAGCCTTTACACTAAGCTCTTAGTGTTGAGTGCCAAGCGAGGCAGCTGTTAGTATAATTTTGATAAGTCTTTGGTAAGACTCGGCCTGGGTTCGACTCGGCGATCTCCCTCATCCGAGGCAGACGCTCTAGAAAGATTATATGCAATTAAGCGATAACGGAGCATTAATGTGCTAGATTTGAATGATAGTGTACCGTAAACATTTGACAATAAAATCTTGTATTCAAATCTCTTAAGTAACCCTTTTAAAAGTTTACAATTCAAAAGAATAGGAATTAATAGCTAACAGTTGGGTCCAAAATATCAAGAAGATGTCTGATGCTGACAGAGCTCATCCGTAGATACTCGTTTATAAGCCGATTGCAATTGCAAACTGCATAGACCCAGATATATCGTCGCATAAGTCCCTGGCAGATCTGGGTCTGTGCTATTTGCTAGGAGTAATTAGTAAAACAAACAATACAGACCCTTATCTGCAGGCGCATTATGCTAGGGCAGATCAGGATCTTTGTCATTGACAAATTAACTCTACTTATAAGTAAGTTCGTATGGTATATTGTTTTCTTCTAGAAGTGAAAAAATGAAAAACGTATGCATCTCGTTGGTGAAATATGAGGCATGATACAAGAAATGTAAGACAAAGAATACTAAAGAATGGAAATCTGTCTTAATATCTCGAACTGTACTTTGGTCTACTGCATCTTTAGGTTTAACCTCATTGTCCTTCTTTAGCAACGTCTGTATCAAGTTTTACAGTCAATAAACACTGTTACAAAGACACGCTAAAAATAGCTTTTTGGTTATTGAAGGAGAAAGAAATAAACCTATTTAAAACGACAACAAAAAGTTAATTAATATCGTATTCAACTGCAACAATAACAATTGAACTGTTATATTAAAGATATCATCGTTTATATATATGAAGGTAATATATTTCGCTCTTTTTTCTTGTTTTAATGATGTTCTTGTTTTAATGATGTTCTTGTTTTAATGATATTCTTGTTTTATGATGTTCTTAATTTTGTGATGTTCTTGATTTTGTGATGTTCTTGTTTTAATGATGTTCTGGTTTTAATGATGTTCTTGATATTTTTATTGGATTGTATTAGACAGGACAAATCAAAGAACTGACGCTACAATTTTTATCAAGAGCTTCTCTTTTGCCATTCGCTGGCCTTGATTGAAAGGTTTCAATATAACACGTGACAGCTGATAGAAAAGCGACGGGATATTTCGTGTAATCTATTAACCACTCAAAAGGGTTGTAATAGCTTAAATTCGTTTGAAATTTATCTGCAAATTGTCATTCTTGCAAGCATATATTTGATAATGAATCCTGGTATTTTGCATCCACCAATCATTGTGGTACTCATCCATTTTTTTTTTATTTTATTTTGTTTTTTAAAAACACGTGTGTCGATAAAATCCATGAGTTTTCCAAT